ATGTGTTGGAGCTATCTGGTTAGAGCACAAAGAACTGTCCTGGTGCTGAGAGAGATGGAAGGAGGTGAGCACTTACTTGGAAATAGGGAAGGAAATGAATGAACCTGGTGTACACTTGAGAAGCTCTTAGTCAAGATCGACAAAGGGTCTTTCTGTGCTCTTTATGGTGGTGGAAATGAAGTGACCAAGGAAAGAGCTCTGTCATTCCTGCTCCTCCTTGACCTGCCCCCCCAGCCCCCCAAATCACTTAACAGCAGGCCAATACTTGATGGCAGGGCAGCCAGGAGTTCACAAAGGGGAGTGTTCCCTTTCCAAAGATGCTAGGATCATCTGCCTTGCTGTGCTGGAGATGCTAACAAAATTGCAAATGCATATTTAAGTTACACATTCCGTAGCTCTTCACTGGGTCGCCCAGTAAGAATTAGCCAGTGGCAACCCGGAAAAGGCTGCCACTGGGGCTCTTGGTTATTTCTTGGTGGGTTTCCAGGTGTGAGGGTGTGAGGGTGCCTGTCTGGGCAGGAGACAGGTGTGGGATGGGACACCATTTTCTGTGTGACTCAGAAGCTGCTTAACTCCTGAACACCCAGTAATGGTTTTTGTTGAGCAGAGCAGCCAATTACCTCTTCAAGCCCTTGTTCTGTGGGTCGAGGCTTTCATTCTGGGCAAGGTCTAAATATGTGTGGAAAGCACAGAGCTATCTCCTTATGGACAGATTTGCTGGGGGTCTCAGCTCCACCTGTCCAAGTCTCTCTTTTTGGTTTCCTATCTCTGGGCTGGTCAGCTGTAGCACCCTAAGGAAATGAAAATTGGTAACTGAGTACAACCAGAAAAAGAAAGAGAACCTGGAGTTCCTGTTTTCAAATATGCACCCCTTTGGTTGTGATGGTGAAGCAGGGTGGTGCGGTCTCAATAAGGACCTTGGACATGACAAAGAGGGCTTGGGAGGTGCAGCAGGGTTATACCTTCCACCAACATAGAGGTTTGGAGAGAGGTAGGGTGAGCAGATAGTTTAGAGTGTGCCTTTCCCCAAGGACCCTAAATGTTGTAACTTTTCACCTCTTATTCTTTCCTTCTTAAATTTTTATTGAATTTCTAGGGGTAATATTGGTTAATAAAGTTATATAGGTTTCAGGGGTACAGTTCTATAACACATCATCTGAATATTGTGTTTGTAGGCTCACCACCCAAAGTCAGGTTCTTTTCATCAGCATTTGTCCCCCTTATACCCTCTTTTATCTCCCCCATCTCCCTTTTTCTCTGTAATCACCATACTGTTGTCTGTGTCTGTGAGTTTGTTTGTTTTTTGCTTAATCCCTTCACCTTTTTCACCCAGCCTCCCAATTGCCCCTCCCCTCTGACAGCTGTCAGTCTGTTCTCTGCATCTGTGAGTCTATTACTGTTTTGTTTGCTAGTTCATTTTGATTATTAGATTCCACATATGAGTGAAATCATATGGTACTTGTCTTTCTCTGACTGGCTTAGCAGTCCTTATTCTTGATTCTTGCCCCTGCTTGATTTTTTCTCATAGTGTTCTCATAATATTATGTACAATTGACCCTGAACAATATGGGTTTGAACTTCACGGGTTCACCTATACACAGATTTTTTTCAATAAATACTATACTGTAAATGCATTTTCTCTTCCTTATGGTTTAAAAAATTTTAAAGATTTTATTTATTTATTTAGAGAGAGGGGAAGGGAGAGAGAAAGAGAGGGAGGGAAACACTGATGTGAGAGAGGAATATCGATTGGTCGACTCTTGCATGCTCCCCAACCAGGGACCAGGCCCACGACCCAGGCACGTGCCCTGACCAGGAGTTGAACCAGTGACTTCTCGCTTTGCAGTATAGACACCCAACCAACTGAGCCACATCGGCCAGGGCTCCTTATGATTTTAATATCATTTTCTTTTCTTTATTTTATTATAAGAATACAGTAAATAATACATGTGATATACAAAGTTTGTGTTAATTATGTTCTTGTTAACACTTCTGGTTAACAGTAGGCTGTTAGTAGTCAAGTTTTACAAAAATTTTGAACTGGGGGCGGAGGTCAGCGTCCCTATACCCTGCCTTGTTCAAGGGTCAATTGTATATTTATTTGCTCATTGCCGCATTCCTGGCACTTAGAACAGTAACTGGGATGTATGAGGCCCCTAGTGCATATTGGATTTAGAGAATTTATTGAATGAGTGGATGACTGAATATAGAAGCAGAGCAGATGTGTCTGACCAGCCCCTTCTGGCCCTCTGGAGGGTCCTGATGGAGAATGCTGCATCTCTGCCTCCCTGCAACCTCCCAGTCACTAGCAAAAAAGAGAGACCCTGGATTTGCTCAACCTTGACTGTGTTCGGTGTGTCTGAAATGACAGCTGTCACTGGAAAAGGAAACCATTTAGTTTTGGGGGAGAATCTCTAGTCATTACTAAAGCAGCAGAAAGAAATCTCACTCCCTGCCTTTCAGATAATTATTAGATCATTCTTCCTCCACAAGGAACAGTCTGCCCTGGTAGAGACCCGCTGTAAAACTCACCAGTGACACACGAACATGGCTTCAGATGAGTCCTACTCATTGAGACCAAACCATCAGTACCCACACGGTTTCCTTCCTCCCAGTCCGGCTGAGGCAGGAAGTTTCCATTCTGCCCACACTAGTGAAACCAGTCTTCAACATCACCTTTCTCCTCCCAGCCCCGCATGAGGAAACCAAAGAATGTAAACGAGGGAGGGCGGCAGTTCTATGACCACTCAGAGGGCTGGCTCACATCTGGAAGGCAGAGAATGAGGCCACCACACATGCTACCATCTTTCTTTTTTCTTTTTTAAGTTTTAAAAATATCTTTTTTAATGAACTGAGAGTTGGACAGAGAGCACAGCGTGGTGGGAACGGCTGCAGGGATTGCTCCTGTCTCAGTGTGTAAAGCGGTGGGGCGGGACTAGCAACGCTTGGGGAGTTGGGCCTGAGCTAGCCTGTCAGCTTTGCACTGGAGTGTCAAACCCACAGTGACCGTTAGCCGGCACTCAATTCTGTCCTTGGCTCAGAAACAGTGGCCCCCAGTGTGGCCTCCATTGCACCTAGGACTTGCAGAGCCAGAGATTTCACAGGGCCTAATGAAAGGGTGTGACAGAAGTGAGACTCTGGTGTTGCGGGGGAATCCGTGGGGATAAGAAGTGTCGCCAGCTACCTGGCATGGAAATGTGTGAGGATGTGTGTTGGTGGGAGTAGGGGGTTTGCAGGCAGCGTGGTGGTAGGGATGGCCATGCGGGTGGGAGGGAGGAGGGCCACCAAGAGTAGAGGCAGCTCTGACTCTGAGTCCCCAAGAAGGACTGGTAGGTGGAGCTGAGGATGTTTGGACAAGGGAACTCTTTGAAGCTTTTCCTCTCTCTTCCCTGCTTCGGACCTGGCCCCCTCCCCTCCATAAAGCCATTAGCTTCTGGTGCCAGCCCTATCTCTGCTCCATCTCTCTCTGTTCCAGTCGGTGCATTCACAGACCTCCTGCCCTGAGGGACGGGGAGGATTTATGGAGGGTAGAGGTTAGAGGGGGAGGGGGCATCCTTTAGAGGAGGGGAGGTCTGTTAGGGGGTAGAGTGTGGAGAGCTGTTAGTCCGCTGGGCTAGAGACCAGATCATTTCCGAGCTGGCTCTGCATGACAAAGGGGAAGGAGCAAGTTTCTTCTTTGATCTCCCTCTGCCGACCCCACACACCTGCCTGTTGATGTTCTGGCCCCAGCTAAGACTTCTCGAAGAAAAACCAAAAGGGGGTGGGGACAGGCTGTGGCCCAGCTTCCCTGGATCCTGCGTAGGCCACCTTCTTCTCTTGGTGACCTCAAGACAAAAAATACCTGCCAAGCTGATGACCCAAAGCACTTGCCGCCCCCTCCCTGAGAGCCTGGCACCCCAGAACTGTGCGGTGAGATAGGGGCGGGGGCGTTGTGAGTGTGTGTGAGCGTGTATTTACGTGTGTAAGCTTGGAGGTTGTAAGAGGCCGTGGGGAGAAGACTCCTGGTGCTGAGGGGCCACACCCTTGATGGAAGCTGAGGAAGAGACGGAGTGAGGGTGAGCAGGAGGGGCGTGCTTTTACAGACTTGTTCCAGGATCCAGCAGCAGAGTTTTCTGTTTCCAAGGGCTCCAGGAAAGGTGTTCGCTGGGGAGGTAGGCATAGGCTGTAGTTAGAAACAGCTGGAGGCAAAGATGCAGGAGGCTCTCCTGCTACAGGAGAAGGAAGGGGTTGTTGGTTCTGGAAGATGCGTCCTCAGAACAGACGTTTGAGGCAAGGGTTGCAGATGAGTTGGAGGTGCCCCCAGTGCCGGGGAGGTGATGAGGCCCACTTAGGAAGGCACTCCCCAGCCTCCAGAGCTTTAGGGGCCCTGGTTCGCTGTAGGCTTTTCCATTTCTCAGAGAAGTTGCTTTGAGAAAGAGAAAAGTCCTTGCCTTCTCCCTACTTTTCCTGGTAAACAAAGGTTGGGATTTAGAAAACTTGTTTAGAGTGAAGGTACAGATTGAGAGGGAAGACTCGTGTTTGGCTGTGGATCAAGCCAACTCACCAATTGTTGTTTTAGCCCCACAAGAGAGCCTGGTGGTCAGAGAAATCCACCTGTGGCTGGAGTGAGAGGTAAAGGGGACGGTGAAGAGATGGTTCTCCCCTCTGGAAGGGTGGGTGCGCAGTGCAAGAGCCAAAGCTCTTCCTAAATGCTGCATAGAGCATGCTCTGTTCTTGGCATGGTGCGTTTTCATTTCTCTCTTCTCGTTTCTCGGCTCATTGTTTCCTTTGGAATCAGGTCCCGAGTAGGGTCTTCACAGTTTGGGCTAAGGGACATGAAGGCAGCCTTTGGTGAAAGGATGTGCAGGAGGAGATGGAGATTGGAAAGAGGCTGAATTTCTTTGAGAGAGCAGAAAGTGACGTTATCAGTCCAAGAGCTCACTCCCCTGTCTCCCCGTCCTCCCCTCTCCCCTGTCTGTTGTGTTTCCACATTGATTCTCCCTCTATTTCTGTTTTCTCAGGGAGCCCAGTTTTGGAAGCCGGCAGTCCCTGGGTTCTTCCCAGGGCACTGGGGAGGGCTGAGGCCGACCATGCCGGGACTGCTGCTGCTCACTGCTGCGCTGCTCTCCAGCTGGGCTCAGCTTCCAGCCGAAGCCAGCTCCTGGTGGTGAGTGAGAGGGGCTGAAGTCCTACTCTACAACCTACGCCTCCTTTGGTAATTGAAATGCGGATAAGGTCACTGTGGGTCTTGATCATCCCTTTATTCATAGGAATCCTAAGGGCCTCTTTTATCCCAGGAAAACTGAGACAGTCCTTTTCCTCTCTCAGGCCCCCAGAGGTAAAGGTTCCACAGAATAAAGGGTTAGTTCATTCTTCTTTTTCTCTGATTCTCTCTGCATTCCCTTTTTCCTGGCTTTTCCTCCATCTCCACAAGTGGTTAGAAATATCTTTTGTTGCTATTGGATAAGAATATTGGGTTTTTTTGTTTTGTTTTGTTTTGTTTTGTTTTGTTTTTGTTTTTGCTGGTGGGGGCAAAGAGAGTCGAGTTCCTATTTTATAAGTCTGAAGACCAGATGAGGGATTTGCAGGACCATGTGTGGCTTTCTTTTTGTGTTTTTAAGACTCTTGTCATTGCCAGTCAACATGGAAACGGCAGGCACTCACCACCTGGCCTGTGCCCTGATCACGTTTTCACTCAGGTGGCAGATGTACAGCCTTCTCATCTAACTTAACTCTTTATTGTATCTGGTGGATGATGAGCAGAAGGGAGAGACCATGAACTGATATAGAGTGGATTAGGGGACGTGTGGGTCAGATATGGAGTGGAAGCATTTAGAATATACTGTGGTGTATGTAAACTGGATTCGATTTTAAAGGCATAAGGGGGAGTTCTATTTAAGGGAATTTATTGCTTTCCATCACATATTCTGCACTTGGGCCAAAGTGAACGAGTCACTCCTGCTCCTTGCTTAAGCCATGTGCTCTCCTGTTGAGGTTTAGCTCTTCTTGCCCTCTGCCTCAGGTGAATAGCCTGCCCTCTCTGGCGCGTGCTCCTCCTGCCCCACACTGTTTAAGACTCAGCTTCTCCCCAGCTGAAAGAGCTCTTCCCCTCTCTGATCACTCTGGGTCCAGAAGTTCAAGTCTGTCTCAGGCATCTGGCATCTCACATGTCATCTGTGTCTGTGCCTCTGTTTCCCCAATTTTCTTTTCCAAGCCATTAGTGCAGGGCCTTATTCACAGAAAGCACCCAATAAATGTGTTGAATGACTGACTTGCTGCCGCACACAGGCATGTGTTCACTCCTTTCCCCTTTCTGAATCGCCGCTGTAGGTCGTTAGCTATGAACCCGGTGCAGAGACCTGAGATGTTCATCATCGGTGCCCAGCCTCTGTGCAGCCAGCTTCCTGGGCTCTCCCCTGGCCAGAGAAAGCTGTGCCAGTTGTACCAGGAGCACATGGTCTACATAGGGGAGGGAGCCAAGATGGGCATCAAGGAGTGCCAGTACCAGTTCCGGCAGAGGCGGTGGAACTGCAGCACGGTGGACGACACGTCTGTCTTTGGGAGGGTCATGCAGATAGGTAAGCGGCCACCAGACATGGCTTGGCTGAAAGAGCTGTGCTCACCTGGCCTGGGCGCAAACATGCTTTCTCTGGATGGGGGCAGAGAGAGCACACCGAGTGTCTAAGTGGGTTCTCTCAAGGCGTGGAATTGGCCTGCAAGGAGAGAAGGGAGGTGCACAGGCAGCAGAGCCTCAGCTGATGTGTTAGCCGCAAGCTCAGTGCGTAGCTAGCCCTCTGCTTCCAGCTTCACCCTGTCCGGGGCAGCCTGAGTGACTCACTCTGGGAGGGGCTCAGACCGTCCGGGTTGAGTTAGAGTGAATAGGAAACCCGCCCACCACCAGTGCCCTTCGTGTCACACAGCACAAGGTCCTCCTCAGAGGGCCTTGCCTGAATGTCTGTAGGCTTTTTGCCTCTTCCACTTGGACCCTGAGAGAGACAGAAACTCTGAGTCAAATTGGTGATAGTTGTCATTAACCCATCCAGACCCAGTCCTGGCCTTTTCATTTGAAAGCGGGTGTGTGTGAAAGTGGGGGCAGGGGACAGACTGAGGAAGAAAGACGGCCACCTCTTCCCAGATTGCTGTTCTCTCCCCTCTCCCACTCCTGGTCTAGGATTCTTTGGCTGCCTATTGCTTAGATGGAGGTGTGATCTGGGGTCTAATTGTTTTAGGTCCTTTTGAAATGTAATTCTCCTCTTTCTGGCAAGAAATTGAGAAATCCGGCCCTATTCTCCTGGGTCTTATCCCCAGGGCCATAAAAGGAAGGTGTCAGAGCACTGAAGTCCCTGTCACACATTCCTTCTGAACAGCTTCCCCTCAAAAGACATTCTGGAGTTACCCACAGCTGGGATTTTCCCCAAGAATGATTTTAGCAGCAGGGGAGTTAGGAATTGAGATTCTGTGCTTCTTTATTACAGATACTTGGAAGGCTCCTCCCTCTCCTGACCTCTTTCTCCTGCCTCCCCTGCCCCATATTGAGAAGTAAGGATCAGGGCAAAGCACACTTTGAATCTCATTCTTTCTTCCTTCAGGGTCAATCAAGCTACATGAAAGGAATGCTCATGTGTTCCCATGACAGTCTTACCAGGCAACTTTCCCAAACGAATGGACTTGAGGGTTAAATGGGATTTTGGTGATAACTTTTCTTCTCAAAGATACTTAGTATCTATCCCTTCTTCCTGGTAAAAGTCTAGATCAGCAGCACCCTCTGCCCCACGTTTCCAGTGAGGACATAAGGATGGCCCAGGTGGAGAGAGAAGCATGCCCTGATCACTTTAAGGGAGTAACCTAATATATGCCCGAGGTTGGCCAGGTCCTTTCCATGTGTTGGTTTATTTGAGTGAAGGCCAACAAATGAGGCTCTACTTTAGAAAGAAAAGTGTTGTCAGGAACAGAAGTTCTGCTGGGTGCAGGTTTGCATGGTAGAAGGACTTTTGAAAGCAGACCCTGTTCTGTACCCTGTTCTGTCACAAATGGGCCCTCCTTTTTGCCTTACTTTCACCGTTCTTTTTTGTAGCTTCCCTGCAGACTTATGCTGCCTGGGAAGCTGTCCTCCATTCCTCCCCCTGGGCCCAGATTGCTCCTGGTGAGTCTTCTTACTAAGGTCTTCTGTGTGACTTCCAAAAGATTCCTTCCTCCTTGGAAGCAGCTGCAAAAGTCCGCCACCTAAGGGCAGCAGTGCAGCTCAGAGGGAGCCACTGGTGCTTCACCCAGTCTCCACCCTGGGGGGCATGGAGGCACCTTCCTGGCAGTTGGAACAGAGAGGGCATGATACCATCCTGCTGTTTCCTGTTGTTCTACTAGAGTAAGGTCTCTCTACTAGTTCCAGTAGCTACTGGTTTAATAGCCATTTTCCTTGAGGTGGTTTGAGTTTCCACTTTGAATTGTTTCATGTATAGAGACCCTTCCCCCCACTCCACATTGATCATTCTGAAGCCCCAAGTTATCTCTTGCTGGCTGAGAGTAGCACTAGCAGCCTGTACTTATCCAAATGCCTCCTATGAAGGCAGAGCCACCTGCACTCAGGGCCTAATGAAGTGTCTGGCCAACAGAGGCAGAGTGACTGCAGGAGACAGCTAATTCATCAAGGACAGTTTGGGATCCCAAACCAAGCTGATAGGCAAGGACCATCACAGCACATAATGTCCATGATATGCTTAGCTGCAGGTACGCTATTTTAAAAGGCAGTTCTGAGAGGGATGATTCATTTCTGGAAAACGTGTTTGCTAAAGAATGGAAGAAGAAATCAGACATATGTAGCTTGGAAAAGAGAACACATAAAAGGCATATTAGTTGCTTTCAAACACTGAAAGGCTGTCCTATGGAAAAGGGATTCGATCATGTATTCCCAGCAGGCAGAAGTTATAGGGAGGCCTATTTCAGCTTAATATGAGAATGTTCTGGTGATTAGAGTCACTAAAAAAAGATGGATGAGAAGCCAACCCACTTCTCCGAGGAATGTTGTGAAAGGAATGCTCCCAGCGGAAGGAATGTGGCTCTGGGCTGCAGCTTCAGAGGCTCCGTCAGGATGCCAGGTCAGGGGCTGAGGCCCCATTTTAGGAAGACTTCTCAGGCAAGACTCGCTCCTGCCTAAGGAGCCTCTTAACCACTGGACCGCCCTGGGAGCTCACACTCACCGTCTGCCCCACCTAGACCAGATAGACACCCTGGTCTCTGGCAGCAATTCAGTGCTGACTCAGATGTTAAACCTGATGGCTGGATTATGAGTGCGATTTTCAGTGCCATCTGGGTTTTTCTTGGGCTGCTCCCAGTCTACAACTGACCAGAAGGTGACCCCTGGTTAATTGAAAAAAAACTGATTTGCTCATTGTGGGCTGGTTGCAAACTTCACTGTGTCGTGACTAGGTAATCAAAAAGTAGCGTAAGGTGTGAGACCTATTAATGACTGCAGACTCCTTCCCTCTCCACCTGCCAAGACGGAGTTGTGGGGTGTCTGCTTCTCATCACGGAGAGCAGAAACTCTGCCTGGTTCAATAGCGGAAAGCAGCATTAAATCTCAATTTCCTGCAAAGAACCACTCCCTTCCATACCTGAGGCCATAGGAGTATTACTTATTATCTCTTATAACACATTTATTGAAATATAATTCATGTACCATACAATTCACTACTATAATATACAGTTCAGTGTATACTCACAAGATTGTGCAACCAGCACTGCTATCTAATCTCAACCCCCCTGAAGAAACTGCATACCCATTAGTGGTCATTCTCTGTTCCTCGCCCCTCCTCCACAAGCCCTAGGTAACCACTGATCTGTCTTTATGCATTTTCATATTATGTATACTTCATGTAAATGGGATCATTCAATATGTGGCCTTTTATATCAGGTTCATTATAGATACAAAATGCCAAGTTGAATCACTTAGCATAATAATTTCAATGTTCATCCATGTTGTAGCATGTCCCTGTACTTAATTACTTTTTATGGCCAAATAATATCCCATTGCATGGATAATGCCACCTTTTGTTTATCTAGTCACCCGCTGATGTGGGTTGTTTCTACTTGTTGGCTATGATGAATAAAGCTACAATGAACATTCACGTGTAACTTTTTGTGTGGACAAATGTTTTCATTTATCTCGGATATATTTTTAGGAGTGGATTTGCAGGGTCATATGGCAATTCTGTGCCTAACCTTTTGAGGAGCTGCCAGACTGTTCCCAATGCAGCTGCACCATTGAACATTCCCACCAGCAGTACCTGAGGGTTCTAGTTTTTCTATACCCTCCTCAACTTGTTATTAGTTTTCTTTTTGATGATAGGCATCCTCATGCATCCTTCACATCCTCATGTGAAGTGGTGTCTCAGTGTGATTTTGATTTGCATTTCCCTGGTGGTTGAGTACTATTTTTTATAAACATTTTTATTCAAGCAGAGCGTACAACATGTGAGTTTCTAAGTGGTTCATTACAGCAATAGAGGAACACAGCTCGGCTTTTCTACTAGAAATGATTTAGATATTTGAGGAAACCCTGCTAAGTGTCCTGAAATGTGGTTCCCAATCCTGTGGGGTGAGGAGGCAGTGTGGACTCTGTGAAAGGCAGGGAGACAGCTTGGTTGATTTTGAATGTTGTAATTGTAGTCTACTTCCTACTCCTGGTCTCTGCCACTGTCTAGCTAGATAATGGCAGCAATAAAAAGACAGATGTGTGGTTCATAGAGTGGTGGAAAATTGGCATCTGTGAGGGGAAGATTTTTGAGAGGATAGAGTCCTGTTATTGGTCCTGTATTTCTATTCAGTCTCATTTTGTTGGTCCCATGTGTTTCTTAAATTCTTCATTGTCCACTCTCCCCTGCCTTTAGGTCTGCCTCCTAGAAATCTGCTGGTCACGTAAATGTCTCTGTAATGGATGTTAGTGTAAGCCAGGGCTGGAGGGAGTCCCTGTATTTGGTATGTCCATAGGGCAAAGGAGGCAAATTTCAGCTCATTCATTATCAAGAGAAGTTTCAAACCATTGGAGCCATGGGAAGTGAAAGGTGCTCCTCCTGACATTTGCTCCCCTCCTGGGAGTGTTATGGCTGAGGCTACAGCAGCACAGGTCTGGAGGAAGCGGAGGGAAAGCAAGCCTCCACTTGAGAGCAGACCTTCACCACCAATCTTGCCTTGTCTTGCAGGGAGTCGTGAGACGGCCTTCACCTATGCCGTGAGTGCCGCCGGGGTGGTGAACGCCATCAGCCGGGCATGCCGAGAGGGTGAGCTCTCCACATGTGGCTGCAGCAGGACAGCCCGGCCCAAGGACCTGCCCCGTGACTGGCTATGGGGCGGCTGTGGGGACAACGTGGAGTATGGCTACCGATTTGCTAAGGAATTTGTGGATGCTCGGGAGCGGGAGAAGAACTTTGCCAAGGGATCGGAGGAGCAGGGCCGGGTGCTCATGAACCTGCAGAACAATGAGGCGGGTCGAAGGGTGAGCCGGACCCCCTACCCCATCCCACCCCTGAGGAAGAACTGGGCTGCCCCTGGGCTGGGCTCTGAGCCATGACCTGGCTATGGAAGAGGTGGGCCTGCGTCAGGAGAATTTTACCTACAACTGCTGACCTAGATGCCCATATTATTGAACTAATTCCTTTCAAAAGGGATTTCCCAGTGGGCACATGCACTTGTCATTTTTTTAACCTTTTTAATTTTTCTACAGGATATCTGTCCCTATACAGCTTAGGTGCAGGCTTTTGATCAGAACTTTAGACACAAGGAGTGGATTTCGTGTCTTGTCTACCCCTCCTTTGTAATTTGAACAGATACAATGATAGGAAGTTTAAGCTGTTAGAAATAGTTGAGGGTTTATGATTTCTCAAAGTTTCAGGTAAAAGCAGAGCTGACTGAAGAGCTGCTGTTTTACAATCCAGAAGCCCATTCCAAATGTTCATTTAGGTCTAATGGCAAACACACTTGTGTGACAGGGGTTTTAAACGTAAGTGGACGTGTGAAGGACAAACCATTCTTTGGATGCTCCAGTAAGCAGTCTCACTGATCACTTGTAAGATATGATGATCTCTGAGCCTCATTTTCAGTAGGAACTAAACTGGAGCTTTTGAGGTGAGCTTGCTTTATTGCACGTGCCGAGCATACCTGGGCACCAGCGTTAGGTTTCCTTTATGGTGTTCTGGGGAGCACATTCCTGCTCTGCTGCTCCTTGTTCGTGAAGACCCCACCTCTGGGCACATGCTATGGACTCCTCTTTCCTTTGCTGCCCTGTGAGGCCTCTGCCTGAGGGCAGCGGGGACTTGCTCAGTCAAGCCGGGGCCGGGGGAGTGTGGACTTGCATCCAGGTCTCCTGTAGGGAGGTCTGAGTGCTGAGTGGTGGGACACTCTCCTGGCAAAGGGCCAGGGGACCACAGGCCTCTCGCAGACAGCTTTCTCTGAGAGTCGTTTACATTCAGGCCTGGGACAGGTCAACTGCCTCGAAGGTCCAGGCCAGGTATTTCAGTGAGAGCAGAGGGGAACTAACTAAAAAATGAGAGCGGAGGTTTCTTGAGAGAAATAAATCCAGAAATTTAATGTTGGTTCCTTGGTGATTTGGTAACAGAATATGAATATATTTCAAAAAATGTGTTTATATATCAATTTAAAAATAAGTCATGTTTCATAGGAGTACAAGGCAAATAAATGGGGTTGGAAATGTGTTTTACATGAATTGGGATCTTGTGATGTTGGCTTGGTATGACGTGGTGCACTTGTGTAAATGTAGCATGACCAAAAGTGTGACGTGAAGTAGAAATTAGAATTGGTCATTTGCCCATTGTCTTCTTTACGTATCACATATCCTGAGACCAGGATTTTTTTAGCCACATATGGGTGTGTGGCAGGTGGGGTCGATCTGTGGTGGTGTGAGAGGTACTGGTTGATGCTTTGAGCTGTGGTTGTTATGGTACAAACTGGGGCAGAGAGACTAGAACTCTCTTCGGTGGCTGTCCACTCTGAGGGCATCTGTGGGGCTGCCTCCGTCTCCAGGACTTCCTTCCGGTTTAGCAGTCCCTTAGGCAGTCTTTGAGTGTTTAACCACGACTGGAGGGTGATGAAAACGTTAAGATCTTCACATTATCTTCTGAATGCCAAAGTTGTACCCATTTTTCAAGGTTCCAGTGTAATACCATCCTGCAAATCTTCCCCATCCCCCGTAGGTAGTAGTCTCTGCATCGGAACTGCAGTAGAACGTTTGTACTTTTCCTGAGGTATAATGCACTCTACCTCAGCTCATGGGCTGCAGGTTTCTGAGGACAGGGATTACCGTGTATGCTTTTTCACAACAGTTCTCCCTGTGTTTTACATGGATGGGTGCGTGTGAATATGCAGATGAAAATTCCCATATTGTTTCCTATCCAGAGGTCAAATTCATGGAGGGCTGTTTCCTGTCTCTGCTCTAAGCTGTCTGTGGGGCGTTGTGACAGATGTGGAGGTGACCAGGCATTCATCCTAATCTGAGCCCCATTTCAGTCACATTCTTGACCCCACTTCTGCTGGCTCCTCATTTTATTGTCCTTAATTGTTTGTTTGTTTGTACTGGGCCTTATCTTGGCAGCCCCTTCCCTTCCATCTGCCACATCTGGCATCTGCCGTCCCTTACTCTCCTTCCCCTGTCTGTCTCCCTGTCTTTGGCCCCCCTTCCTCCAGTTCCACGCCTCTTCTACTGCCCTTTATCTTTCTCCCTTTACCTCTGTCTGCTCCCTGTTGGGAATTCTTTTTTTTTTCTTTTTTAATTGAATTTTTTGGAGTGACATTGGATAATAAGATTATGTAGGTTTCAGGTTTACAGCTCTGTAACACATCATCTGTATATTGTATTGTGTGTCCACTGCCCCAGTCAAGTCTCCCTTCATCACCATTTATCCCCCCTTTACTCTCTTCTACCTCTTCCCACCCCTCTTTCCCTCTGGTAACACCACACTGTTGTCTGTGTCTGTGAGCGTGTTTGCGTGCATGCTCTCTCTCTCTTTCTTTCATTTTTTGCTTAATCACTTCCCCGTTTTCACACAGCCCCACAACCCTCCTCCCCTCTGACAGCTGTTGGTCATGACCCTATTTCTATTTGTTTGTCCATTTATTTTGTTCATTAGATTCAACAGATGAGTGAGATCATATAGTACTTGTCTTTCTCTGACTGGCTTATTTCACTTAGCATAATGTTCTCAAGGTCCATCCATGCTATTGCAAAGGGTAAGACTGCCTACTTTTTTATATTCCATTTTGTAAATGTACCACAGTTTTTTTATCCACTCATCTACTGATGGACAGTTGGGCTGCTTCCACTTCTTGGCAATTATAAATAATGCTGCAATGAACACAGGAATGCATATATTTTTTGAAATTAGTGTTTTGTGTTTCTCCAGTGTATTCCCAGAAGTGGAATTGCTGGGTCATAAGGCAGTTCAATTTTTAATTTTTTGAAGTAACTCAGTACCATTTTCTACAGTGGCTGCGCCAATCTGCATTCCCACCAACTGTGCACAAGGGTTTTCTTTTCTGTATATCCTGGCCACTATTTGTTTGTTGATAGCCATTCTGATTCATGTGAAGTGGTATCTCATTGTGTTTTAAGCTGTATTTCTCTGATGGCTAGTGATGCTGATAATCTGTTCATACATCTATTGGCCATCTGTATATTCTCTTTGGAGAAATATCTATTCAGGTGCCCATTTGCCCATTTTTTAAATTGGATTGTTTGTGGGGTTTTTTGGTGTTGAGTTTTGTAAGTTCTTTATAAATTGTGGATATTAAGCCCTTATCAGATGTGTCATTGGTGAATATGTTCTCCCATTCAGTGTATTGTCTTTTCATTTTGTTGATGGTTCCATTGTTTCTTGTTTGTTTATTTCCCTTGCCTGAGGAGGTAGATCAGAAAAAATAATGCAATGGGAAATGTCCACGATTTTACTGCCTGTTTTTTTTTCTAGAATTTTTATGGTTTCTTTTTTAAAATATACTTTATTGATTACACTAGTACTGTTGTCCCATTTTCCCCCCTTCACTCACCTCCACCCTACTCACCCTCTCCCACCCATATTCCCCCGCTTTAGTTCACGTCCATGTACATATAAGTTCTTTGGATTCTACATTTCCCATACTATTCTTACCCTCCCCCTGTCTGATGGGAACTCCTTTGTAGGTGACTGTCCCCTTATCTCTTGCTGCTTCTAGGATTCTCTCCTTCATTTTTACCTTGGCTAATGTAATTATGATGTGCCTTGGTGTGTTTCTTCTTGGGTCCAACTTCTTTGGGGCTCTCTGAGCTTCCTGGACTTCCTGGACATCTATTTCCTGTGCCAGAATGGGGAAGTTCTCCTTTATTATTTGTTCAAAGACATGTTCAATCTGTTGCTTGTCCTCTTCCCCTTCTGGTACCCCTATAATTTGGATGTTGGAATGTTTAAAGATGTCCTGGAGCTTCCTAAGCTTCTCCTCGTTTTTTTGAATTCTTATTTCTTCATTCTTTCCTGCTTGGATGTTTTTTTCTTCCTCCTGGTCCACTCTATTGTTTTGAGTCCCAGTTTCCTTCCCTTCACTATTGGTTCTCCGTGCATCTTCCTTCATCTCTTTTATGGTAACCTGCATTTTTTCATGTAATTTGTGCCCAAAATCAACCAATTCTGTGAGCTTTCTGATCACCAGTGTTTTGAACTGTGCATATGATAGATTGGCTATCTCTTGGTCACTCAAAAGGATGAGTCCTGGGGGATTGAGCTGTTCTTCTGTTGGAGACATGTCTCTCTCTCCTTATTTTTTTTTTTTTTTGTCTGTTGGGTCTTGTTATGGTGAGGGGTGGAGCCTTAGGTGTTCACCGGGGCTGGGCACCCCAGTTGCTAGATTGTGACATTGTATGTGTGGGCAGGGGCAGGAAGGAACAATGGTGGTAGTTGCGCTCTCCTGGGGCATCAGTAACCCCCGTGGGATCCTGGGTTGTGCACTCTTCCCTGGTCCACAATGGCACCTCACTGGGTCCACCAGCCACCGACTGCGTACTCAGGGTCCACCGCTGTGCTGCAATCTTGCGCGTCCCCGAAGGCTTAGGCGCTCGGTTGCCTTATGCACCCAGTTCTCCCTGATCTCCATCTCCGCGCACCGCAACCCGCACCCGCTCCTCCTCTCCACCCCTCCTACTGGTCTGGACGAACGGGTCTACTTCAACTTCTTGGCTGTCCGACTTCCATTCAGATAAATTCTCGATCAGTTCTGGGTGTTATTCTACCCCTAAATTGTTGTTGTTCTAATCTTGGTTGTGCGTGGAGGTACGGTGCGTCCACCTATGCCTCCATCTTGCCAGAAGTGTATAATTTATGTTGCAGGTTTGATTCCTGGTCCAGGGTATGTACAAGAGGCAACTGGTCAATGTTTCTCTCTCTCTCCCCTCCTCTTTCCTCTGCTATGATTATGCAGGCCAGCGGCGGCTCTTTCCGTACAGGGGGCTAATTT